AGTTGAATAGTCACTAATTCATAGATTTCTTATATAATTGAAACAAAAATTGTGTCGCATATCAAAAATACGATTACCCATGTAGCCGATTTTATGAAATAATGGACATTGCAATGCATTATTTTACAATAGAAATGTAATGGATGCAATTACATGATAATGCAACCTATTTCATGCATTATAATGCATTATTTTTAATTAATCCATTGCAATACATTGATTTATCAACGCATCATAATGCATTTTTTTTTATAATAATGCATTATAATGCATTGAAAACTTCATATTTGGCACTTGCTATACAAGATTTATATAATCCTATTAAATCGATATCCTAATCACCATAATTGTATCTCTGTGGTTTTGCACATATATCTCCTTAACTTAACCTTTTAACCTTAATCTATCCCCTTAACTTAATCCTTTAACCTTAATCTATTAACTTATCGATATCTATCTCCCTAACCTTAATCTGTTAACTTATCTATATCTATCCACTTAACCTTAATCTATTAACTTATCTATCCCCTTAACCTTAATCTATTAACTTATCTATCCACTTAACCTTAATCTATGAACTTATCTATCCCCTTAACCTTAATCTATTAACTTATCTATATCTATCCCCTTAACCTTAATCTGTTAACTTATCTATATCTATTCCCTTAACCTTAATCTATTAACTTATCTATATCTATCCCCTTTGCCTTAATCTATCTCTCGAACTTAACTTAACTCCTTAACTTTCATCAACCCTCTTATATATATCTATCCCATAATGTATCATTTTGATCATATCAGATAAGAATCTAAAACAAAAAGACAATTAATGAATAAATAAATTTATTATTATTAAATTCGAACTTACCATTTCGATCATCATCGATATCAACCTAAAACACAGGAAAAAGAAATAGAAATAATTTTAATATTGAATTGTAACTTACCATTTCGAGCAGATCGATAAGAGCCTAAAACAAAATATAATGAATAAATAATTTTATTATTATTGAATTCAAACTTACCCCTTGGATCATGTCCAATTGTAGTTGAAACCGAGAACAGTTCAAGAACGTATATATGACATAAGACTGTTTCAATAGTATTAAAATGGTTTCAGATTTGGAAAACAAAATGATTCATTATCTAATCGGTTATACTTGATACTGTGAGCAGTTTTAGTTCACCAGATACATCCGAAACTGAGCAATAACGAAGAGGGAAAACCTCTTGAGAGGTCTAAGACTGTGATCTCTTTCATTCTACAGAATATTCTAAAAGCATTCAAAACTTTAGTAGCGTTTCGTTGCATCAAATAGAAACTCGAGATCGGATTTCGGTTCGTTGGTGCACATTTGCCCGATTGAGTAAACTCGGAAACTCTTCGGCTTGCCTTGGGAAATATTTTGGAACCTGAAAGGGTAATCTGATATACCTCATCAGATTTTGGCTCAAGTTTTCAATAGTGTAGGTTTCCTTGAATACTCTAGTGATTTCTAAAAGTACGATTAGGTTTCCATTATCAAGGAAAAGGGATTCGAAAAATACTCTGAGCGCTGTAACTCAGGTTACATTTTTTATTAGTTCTTTAACTTGCGCGACTCTTATTGAAAAGCACCTGATACACAGAAAGCTGCGTTAGATCAAATATCTACTTGTCAAATCACTTTTCAATATCTCTTTTACAGAAATGGTGAATTCTCTAATTTAAAAACATTACTCTAAATAATGCATTGAAATACATTGAATAATAATGCATTATCTTAAAATTCTCCATTATTTGGAATAATGCATTGTAATGCATTGAAATTTTGCTGCATTCTCAAGCCAATTTCGCATTATTAGAAATAATGCATTGAAATGCATTGGATAATAATGCATTATTGGAATTTTCTACATTATTCTAAATAATGCATTACAATGCATTGAAAATTTAGGCATTATCCTTCATTTTCAGCATTATTAGAAATAATGCATTGAAATGCATTGAAAAGTCAAAAAATAATTAATTATAATGCATTAATTCATGTTTTTCTTCAAATAATGGAAAATAATGGATCATTTTCCATTATTCATCCATTATCGGCTACATGGGTAATGCTCATTGTAAAAACATTCATACAAATTATATGTATAAACATGAAATTTTCAGCAAAATTTCATCGATCAGCGTATGTCTAATCTATAAAATTCATGTTTCTTGTTGATTGAAGCATTTTTAAACAACAAAATGTATAATTTTAATGAATTTTAGCTTTGACACTAAAATTAAAGGTTCTCGTTGATTTTTACTTCGATTCCGATGATTCTTTCACTGATATATGAATAAACAATTAGCTCTTGCTTAGAACCTAATCAAAAACCTATGATTTTTGTTGGATACGAGGATTTTCGATATCTGAATTCAAATATTGATTCTTTCTAAGATTACATTGACATTCTTATAAAAGCCTATACATGACGGGAGTAGGCTGAATAAAAGAGATTACTTGGTTTTTCTTTAAATTGAATTCTAAGATGTTTCAATGTAACTATCGCAGTTTCATTTTATAGATATATTATTTTGTTTTGATACATATTATCTGGAAAAACTTCATGTTAACTATATGATAGCTATTGCTTTGTTTACCATTTTGTGAAGAAAAATGAAAGTGTCAAGCTTGAAATTTGAATTCAACTGAGTTTTCAAATTTCAAGTTTGACATCGTATATGGAATAATGAGAGTATAAAGAATTCCTTCATTCATTAACAAAATATTGCAACTTGATATTCTTTTTTTGACTTCAAAACTAGGTTTTCATTGATATATATACACACGACAACGGTTACTTTTTCTTTGATATGCAAGAAAGGCTATGCATACGCTAAAGTCGAAAGAAATACAGAATACAACAGAAAATTGACTATGTTTGTTTTCTGTGATTATTTTCCAAATGACGAAATTTATTGAATTAAATAGAATCTATTGATTTATGTAAGATTACATAATTTTGCATTGACCGTAATGAGCGAGAAATCGTGATGTTTCTTTATCTACATTCATTGATTCCACTCAAAAAAAGAAAAGTAACTATAAAAATATAATTTTATTTATTGAGATATTTTAAAAGAAAGAAAATGTATTGTACTTAGTTGATAACTTCGTTGAATGAGTACAATATTACCAGGAAAAAACCTATTTACTATCTTAAACATAGGCATATATGCAACATCATAATGCAAACTACTTTAACATTAGAATCCACGAGAAAATAACTAGAAAAATAACATTTTTATGATAGTATCTATGCTAGATATATATGTATATACATATTCTTTTTATGTATGTCCAACTTCAGATCAGAGATGTCCATCGCGGCGCTGCCGCTGCCGCTGCCGCGACGGCGGTGGCGGCGCGGCAGCGGCAGGTTTTTTTAAAAAATCACCGCGGCAGCGGCGCGGTAGCGGTAGATTTTTTAAAAAGTCATCGCGGCAGCGGCGCGGTAGCGGTAGGTTTTTTAAAAAACCATCGCGGCAGCGGCAGGGTTTTTTTGGAGAACATTGAAAACCTGTATGAATTTAATAGAATTTCAGGATTTACAAATGAAACGCCCTGATATTGAATAAATCTGATGGACTAGTACCCATATCTCTGGTCAAATATAGTCACAGCAGTGAAATTAGAAACACTTTTTTGAAAACCGTCGCGGCAGCGGCGCGGTGGCGGCACGTTTATTTTATAATTCATCGCGGCAGCGGCGCGGCAGCGTTTCTTTTATAAGTCATCGCGGTGCGGCAGCGTCGCGGCAACATTTTTTTATAAACCGTCGCGGCGCGGCAGCTTTTTTTTTCTAAGGCCGCGGCGCGGCAGCGGCAGATTTTCAGCCGCGATGGACATCTCTGCTTCAGATATATGATACGAAGTCTACAGAATTTTTTAGAAGAATTCATCTAAATTTGAATTTAATTATCTCATCTTGATGAAAGATAATCTCTAAAATTTGGATGCATTTGATTTTATTAGCTTCGCAGTTATATTTATTTGTCTGGACTACTAGTACATTCTATCTCAGTAAATTTCTCCGTTTCAATTCTCAGAATTATGGAAAATATTTTGGTCTTTTCTGCAACAAAGTCAGATAGGCCTTCTTTTTTACAAGGAGAAATGCATAATAACAAGAGTTAGAGCACTAACATAACAAAATATCTTATGCGAGAAATTATAACATTGAAAACTTAGATAGTTAAATATTTCCTTAAGTTAATAAGTATAACATGAAAGTAGAATGCATGTAATGCATTATTTCTATACATGGATGAATATCATTGAAAAAAAGCGACTCATTTTCATGGGTACATGAATATCTTTCTTATGTTTATTCCCTAGAAAGTTTTCAAAGATTATTTTCTAATTCTCAAAGAAACATTGATTCACAAAAAATAAATCAATAAGGTTATATGTATTTTTTTTCTTGCTGATTTAATTCACTATTGAATTGCACATATCACAGAATTATAAGTTTGATTTAAAGTACTGATAGGTGCTAAAAAATGACCTTAAGTAAAAAATTTTTTCGATATTTGTTATGACGTATATATCCTGTTCAATTCTCTACATTTATATAAATACTATGGGACAGATGAAAACATATTTAATAAGTAGAAAAATCATTGTTTTCCTATGACTAGTCATTCTATAATTACAAGTTTTATTACTTTATCAAAATATGTAAAACTTAGAAAGCCAAAACTTGTAACGGAAAAATGACATTCAAATGGTTCATTTAACAACTTTTGTAAAGAATTAAAAGACGAATCTATTAAAAACAAATGAAATGTGAAAAAATGAACTTAAAAGAAAACACATTTTTTTCTCAGTGTGAATTATGCTGATGCACAACGTTTACCATCATCTTAATAAAGTGTTTTAACTGTTTAATTTCATAATCTTTTCAGAAATGTTCTTACTGATATCGTACATCAATTTCTCACAAATAAAATTGGCGAACTAATAATAGAATGGAATATTCAAAACAAGATTGATAAAAAAAACAGATATTTTTCATCATACACTCGATTTCATCAAATTTTAGATATAAACTGAGAGAAATACATAATTTTTATTTATGAGTCAAATGCATAGCTTTAGAGAGTTTTAGAGGCACTTGTCCTAATGATAAACTAGAACTAACATAATATGATTTCACTTAGAATCGATCAGCCAGTAAATGAAATTTAAAAAAAATATTTAGAAATTCAGAAGTTAGAGTAGTATGGAAACAGTTACGTAAAAAAATTCTAATAAATTTGTTTATAGTGTAATATATCATATCTATTTTAAATGAATGGAGTTTGTGTGCATAAGCAGATGTCTGAATAATTGGAAGACACGAAGATGATGATAAAAATATGATTGCTTGTAGATAAAAAGTTATTCTGTATAACAATCATGAAATCTTATGTAATATTACAAGTTACCATAAATATGTACATCAAGTTACATGCGTTCATCTTATATTTTTCGTTCCTGTTTTTTTAAAGGATCTATCTTTGTCTGTATTACACAGTATAAATGTAAAAAGAATTTCAGAATATTGCATCTAGCAAGTATCATTGAGGAAAAAGAATTTTGTATTAATATTTATCACTTCTAGCTTTATCTCCATCAGATGAATTACATTGCTATCTTCTAATTCTAACTATTCAACTTAATTCAAATTAAAAATTTAATTTTATTGACATGGTTGCATTGTATTCTAATATAGTGGATATACTCCCAAGTTTGACTTTCAGTATGAATTTCGAATTCTATTTTTGACTGTTGTATAAAATATGAGCACTTATTAAGCAAAGATTTCTTCATTATTCTTTTGACTCAAAAATACGTATATGTCATATCGAAGTTACTTCGACATATAAAATATTTAAATAAATTCACACTGAGTCAAACAAAGACTAATAGATAAAACAGTAAATTCAGTTGTGTTGTTTATATTTCAAATACTCATATCTATTTTTTGTTTATTATCAATAATTTCGACTATGTTTATTTTCATCTATAAGTAGAAAATCAAATTATCTACTCAAATATTTGACATATATATTGTTTTCACTTTTATAAGTATTAATAAATCATATTTTTTATATCAATAAAACACAAGAAATAAAACTACATTTTCATTGATTTATAATTTAAATCTTCTGAAATTATTTTTTCTTATAGATTGATAATGGAATGTTTTAATATAGTACAAAAATTAAAACTAAAACGATGCAATAGATTTCATTCTCTTTTTTTCTTTGAAAGTCTTGTCTCTGAACAAAAAAAAACAACACAGAAGTTTTAATTATTATAAAAGTAAAACAATTACATTCAATAAATATGTTTCCAAAAAATTAGATATTTCTTCTGATCCTATCAATTAAATTACAAATATCTCATGAATTTCTTAGCAACTTGAAATCCATTTTTATTTCTACTTCATACTTTTGTTTCATTTCAGTACCAATGCGTGCAAGTTTCATTGATATTCATCCCAATGCAACATGGTCAAAGAATGGTATCACTGTTGCTGGAGGAAATGGACTAGGCAGTGGAACCAATCGACTCTGGTTCCCATTGGGTTTGTACGTCGACGACGATCTAACGATTTATGTCGCTGATCAGGATAATCATCGTATTGTGGAATGGAGATCTGGTGCAACGAATGGAAGAGTGGTTGCTGGTGGAAATGGAGAAGGGAATGGAGCTCATCAATTAAAATGGGCACGAGATGTGATTATCGACAAAGAGAACGATAGTCTCATCATCAGTGATGGCGGAAATAACAGAGTAGTTCGATGGCCTCGTCGAAATGGTATTCGTGGAGAAACAATTATTTCAAATATCTCTTGCATCGGTTTGACAATGGACGACAATGGTTCTCTCTATGTCGTTGACGAGCAAAAACATGAAGTGAGACAATATAAAATTGGTGATACTCAAGGAACAGTGGTTGCAGGTGGCAATGGAAAAGGAAATCGTTTCTATCAACTCTACGAACCCCGCTACGTATTTGTCGATCGAGATCATTCAGTTTATGTGTCTGATAATGAAAATCATCGTGTAAGGAAATGGGAAGAAGGTGCAAAACAAGGCATTATTGTAGCCGGTGGTCAACGACAAGGAAATAGGCTCACACAATTGTCAAATCCTAATGGAGTCATTGTCGATCAATTGGGTACTGTCTATGTGGCTGATTTAGGAAATCATCGAATTATGCGTTGGCCAAAAGGAGCCACACAAGGAAGTGTCATTATTGGTGGAAACGGTCAAGGAGCCCAGCCGAATCAACTCAATACTCCCGTTGGTTTATCATTTGATCAACATGGCAATCTGTATGTCGCCGATCACGCAAATCATCGAGTGCAAAAATTTAATATTGCATAAACTCAACTCGTATGATTAATTTTTTTTCTTTCGTTCTTTTTTTCTTCCTCTTTCAAATAAATTGCGATTGAATGAAAAAATGCATTCAAATTTATTCTATTCTCGCGCACGCGCGCGCGACCAGGAACCACCCTGGTGAAGCCATGGCGAGCGTAATGCTCATGCACGCGCGGGAAGACCCACATCCTTCACATGCATCCATCCGATGTCATATGTCAGTGAATCTGGGGGCCCGATCGTGTTGCCATAGACGCCAAAACAGTTCCTAGCCGAGCTTTCAGGGACTACCCAGAAGTCCTTCTTATAAAGCGAACCTAATCTCAACGGACATGACTCAGCCCTCTCACTACTAACACTTACTTCTCTCAGTCTCACCCTATTCTCGCCTCAAAAAAAAGAAATAATTAGGGTGTGGGTGTGAGTGTGAGTGTGCATGTGGCTGTAAACAAGAGCAACACCACACCCACATCCATACCCCACACCCACACCCACACCCACACCCACACCCACACCCACACCCCACACCCACACCCCACCCACACCCACACCCACACCCACACCCACACACCCACACCCACACCCACACCCACCCACACCCACACCCCAC